CAATGTTATATCAATATGATTATTGTAACAACCCTCACCTTACTCTTATTATATTTGCATACATTCCTGCATGATCTTGCCTTGTTATGCTAATTCGAAGGATTTGCTTGCCTTGTTTTGTTTGTATTGCTTGCGTGGTTTTGTTCCTTGTTCGGTGTGTGTGTGTGGCCGAGGTCATCTTGAGCTTAGTTCGCCTTTGAACCCTTGTACTTAGAACTGTTTTGAGACCTTGGTCGACCCCTATCTTCACCTCGGGCTTGTTGCCGAGATGTTTTTGCACTTGCTGAACCTTGTCCTTGGGCAGGTATGGCCTAGGCCGAGATGTGGCACACCCCGGCCAAGGTGTGGCACAGCTTAGTCAAGTGTCGTCCTCCCTAGCCGATGTTTTGTTATCCTGTTGCGGATCTTGATTTAGCGATGTCATTCATTGCCGAATGATGTCTTACCCGAGCTTGCTGCCATACGCTTTGGTCAGGAGACTTGTCTTATCTATCAATCACCTTTTCGAGTTGAGCCAACCCGATAGCGCCACGTGTCCGAGCTGATTGTTAAGACAGCCGGCAGACCTAGAAACAAATCATTTTTTTTTTGGTCTCAAATCTTTGCCTTTAGAGAGAGAAGCTCTAGAGAGAGGGAAGAGAAGTTCTTGAGTGAGAGCAAGTCTTCCAAGCTTGATCTTCGTGGTTTGAACCGTTGGATCCGAGTTTTGAGGTTTGAACTTTGATCTACTTTGGTTGTTGTTACTAATCATCTAGCTGCATTGCATGATCGAATCTGTTTTGCATGTCATGCATCAATTTGAAGTTGGTTTTGGAAAAGAGAAAACGGTTTTCATGTGTTCTTGAAGAAAGTCTCGTTTTGATCCGAAAGTTTGGAACGAAAACCATGTTTTCATGTTTGTTCTTGCATGACCTTCTTGTGTGGGTACCCAGGTCCATGTTTTGAACTCTTGGCATGAAATCTCAAATTTTGTAACAAGTTATGATCCTTGCATTCGTCTTCTTCATGATCATGCTCATCATGTTCTTCAAAGGGAAAACCTAGGTTTTCCCGACTTTGCTTTTGAATGAGGCCAGCGGGACCACACCTCGGCAAGGATGTGTGGGACCTCGGCAAAGACCTGGTTGGTACCCAGTGTGTTTTCATGAGACGGGAGCAGAGTTTAAACTCCCAGCATGTTTTGCTTTGTTGTTGACTTGAATCTGGTAAGGATGCCGAGATCATTTGCATGCATATAAAGCTTGTTTTGAGAATGTGATTTGCCATGTGATTGTAGGTCCTTGATATTTGCTTTGAGCCTACACCCGTGGAAAACTATGTGAGTGGTATTTCTAGTAAAGCTATGTTACAGTTGTTTTGATGAATCTTGCTTTGTTTTGTTTTGACGAAAGTATTTACTAAGCATGAATGAATAGCTTTGTCTTGATGTATCAAGTATAAGCCTTGTTTTGATGTCATCCTTGAAAAGTCCCTTGTACTGGAGGACTCTAAACTTTTGCAGTACTAAGTATAAAAGGATACGGTCCTCTCTTGGAAAGTCCCTTGTGCTGGAGGACTCTAAACTTTCGCAGCACTAAGCATAAGAGGATACGGTCCTTGTTAAATCGGGCTACGGGCCCAAGTAACACCAGTCCCTTGTACTGGAGGACTCTAAACTTTCGCAGTACTAAGTGTAAAAGGATACGGTCCTTTCTTGAAAAGATTACTATGTTAAATCGGGCTACGGACCTAAGTAACACAAGTCCCTTGTGCTGGAGGACTATAAACTTTCGCAGTACCTTTGACTAAACGATCACGGATCGTACAACCCTTGTTTTGATGAGCTTGATGTGTTTTGCCGATGTTAGTGAGCATCCTTGAGACTTGTAAGATTTGATTGATGAATACGGTTCATCCCTTGTTTCGCCGATGTCAGTAAGCATCCCTTGATACTTGTAATATTCGACAGATGAATACGGTTCATCCTTTGTTTGTTCGGAAAGCTTGATACTTGTAATGTTTGATTGATGAATACGGTTCATCCCTTGTTTCGCCGATGTCAGTAAGCATCCCTTGATACTTGTGATATTTGATTGATGAATACGGTTCATCCCTTGTCTTGATAAAGTTTGATGCGTTTGTTTTGAAAGACTCCGGCTATATTCATGCAAACCTTTATTATCAGTACCATTTACTGAGTATCCAAGCTCACCCTCTCTATATATATGTAGGTGATGAGCAGGACGTCGGCGACGCCTAGACTGTTTTTGAAAGCTTATTTGGATTCATGATTATGTCGGCTTTGTTTTTGTATTCACGTCGGCGATGCTATTTATCTCATGTCGGCGAATCTTGAAAATCATGCTCCTTGGCTTGTATTTGCTGTATTTTGTATATGTCGGCTCAAGAAGCCTTTTGATCAAGATGCAATACGTATTTTGTTTTGTTGTATTCAAATTGTAAGATGAATGACATTGCATTTGATCTATGCACAGCTTTTAAGGACCACTTGTATTTTAGATTATTGCTTCCGCATTTGTGAGCCCCGTTTATTATACTCTGATTGTGTTGAGTTTTTGAAAGTTGGCCTTCGGTAATTACGGATTACTGGCCATCACGGCACCAAACTACTAGGGGCGGTTTGGGGTCGTGACAATTATTGTGACATGTGTGAATGTTCGCATTAGGGCAAAAAAATGGACAATATTACATAAGAATGGATACTTTTCAGTGGTAATCTTCATATTATATCCACATACAAATGTTAATGTCCATAATGGTAATGTCAAGGTTCACATTAACAACCCCTGTTTTGAATATAAGAATGATGTTAATGTTCACATTGTAGCTTACATCAATGCATTAATCACACACCACTATTTTTTTGGATAATCAAACATGATGTGAATAAGAATGTACAAATGATGTGAATGTTCACATCACAACACTAGCTACACATATAGACAATAATATATCAAACCACCATTTCATTATTTTTTTTAAAACAAAAAAACAAAAAAAACAAAGGGTTCAAATCCTTTGAACATCATTGTGAGACCAGGAATTATCCTCTCACATGGATGTTGTAGAGATCCAACGAAGAGAAGAGCTTCACCCCTGTACATCTGCAATGATGAACATAGTCGGTGCCACCCAACCGGGGTTGCCGGCCGGGAGTCCTCCGATGATGAAGTTAGTCTTTCAATAGTCTCTATATATTAGAAGGGGTGTGTGTTTTGTAGAGAGAGATGAGACATACTTCCACTTGGGATGCCCCCCTTTATATAGATGGGGGGTGTGATGTTTGTTTGGGCTGGACCCATTGTAGGTTTTGTTTGGGTTAGGCCCAATAAGTTAGTACCTATATTTTTCTGGCTCCCACAATCATCAACACCAATAGTAACCACAATCACAAAAAGAGAAAAAATAACATATTATCACTGCTTAAAAATAAGAATGTTCACATGTTGTGAATGTTCATATCACTATATTAGATGAGAGAGAATTTTTTGGAAAGGTGTTTTGAACGTTCACATCAGATGAGAGAGAAATTACAAAAACATGACAGCATCAACAATGCATTAACCACACACCACTATTTTTTTGGATAATCAAACTTGATGTGAATAAGAATGTACATATGATGTGAATGTTCACATCACAACACTAGCTCTACACATAAACAATAATATATCAAACCACCATTTCATTATTTTTTGAAAAATAAAAAACAAAAAATAGAGGATTCACATCCTTTGAACACCATCAACACTAATAGCAATCACAGTCACAAAAAGGGGGAAATAGCATATTCTCGCTGTTTAAAAATAAGAATATTAACATATTGTGAACGTTCATTACACTATATTAGATGAGAGAGAATTTTTCGAAAACGTATTGTGAACGTTTACATCAGATGATAGAGAATTCTCAGAGCATTGAAGCCATTAAAGAACTTGAGTGGCCACTAGCAAATATATATATTTTTTTGGGCGTATGTACAAAGGGCCCAAATTTATAAGCTCGCCTAGGGCCTCTGAATTTTCAGGGCCGGCCTTGTGTAGTGTTTGGCATTAGGTTAATATAATTAAAAATTCAATGTAAATTGTCATATTACTATCTTTATTTTTTACATTTTTTTTAAAATCAAAAAATTAATTGAAATAATCAATTTCCAAATAAGTGTTAAAATATTTACAAATTTTATATGAGTGTGGATGAAACATAAGTGTTTAGACAGAGTTTTGGTGTTTTTTTTATAACCCTTAGGATCGTTGGTTTTCTGAGATAGAATGAAAATGATTTATACTGGGGAAATTAATCATGAGAAGATTTAGTAAAATTATATTTGTTTTGATAATAATTATTAGTGCAGAATTGTTAAATTATTTTTATATAAAATAATAAAACAAATAAAAAAATAAAAAAATATTAAATATTAATGTTCAAAAAAAAAATACTCAACGTGTAAAAATAAAAAATAAAATAAAAACTATAATTTTTACTTAATAAAAAATTAAACATTAATGTTAAAAAAAAAAATCAATATATAAAAAATGAAAAAAAAATTCGGCACACTAATTTCTAATATCAAGTTTCAAGTCTCCATCTTAATTCTCTCTCCAAAGCGAATCCTAATTTGGAATGAGTTACAAATCCCATCATTCTCAAAATAAACACAATATTAATGAATCTCATCTTAATCCCAATCCAATCCTTTCTCTATCTCCTAAGAGAAACGGAGTCTTAGATAGATTGCTAAATCTTAAATGGACTAGGATTTGGAGGAGATGATCTGGCAGTGATTGGGACATAACATAATCTTATTTAATTCTAATTTCTAATATCAAATTTCAAGTCTCCATCTTAATCCTCTCTCCAAAGCGAATCCTAATTTGAAATGAGTTACAAATCCCATCATTCCCAAAATAAACACAATATTAATGAATCTCATCTTAATCCCAATCCAATCCTTTCTCTATCTCCTAAGAGAAACGGAGTCTTAGATAGATTGCTAAATCTTAAATGGACTAGGATTTGGAGGAGATGATCTGGCAGTGATTGGGACATAACATAATCTTATTTAATTGGAACAGGGCATTGGAAACAGACAGCAGATGATAGAATGATCCTTCACGAAGGGAAAATTGGGAAAAACAACCTACGACTCTCACTGAACTAGGTTTACACTTACGTTACTCTTTTATTGTTGTCCCAGATTTCTCAATTCTATTTTCTAATTTAATTTATGAATTACTGATTGGGTTTTTCCTTTTCTCTCTGTTTTTTTTTTTTTTGATTACAGAGACCATAGAATTCTCCGAAGTAGTATACAAATCCCAAAGGTTTTAACTTTTGTCCTTTGAGTTCCTAATAATTCTTGCACTTGAGAGAGCTCAGATCACAGGTGGGTTTCTTTCAATTTGTATCTAGTATATATATATATTCTTATATTTAGGCTTGCTTGTACTTGGGTGAGCTTTTGTTTTGTTTTTTTAATATTGTTTTTATATTTAATCTGGAGATTATTATTAGTTTCTTCTTCTTCTCTAAACCTTGGTTTTGTTTTTTTAATGGGTTTTTTGTTTCAATGCTACATAGAAGAAAAATTACCCAGAATCTATAGACCACAATTATTCTAGGTCCTACCAACTTTAAATTTCGGGACTAAAATTTGTGGTAGATAGCATTTTTCGTGTTCGTGTTTCTGTGTGTGTTTGTTTTGACTGTTGAGTTTCAGAGGAGGTTTCAATTGTAGATTGGGTTTTCCTGGATTATCTTCTTTGATGTTACTAGGTTTTTGTTATTTGTTATGAATTGATAAAATGGTCAATTACCCTTTATGGTGTTTTCAATTAAAACTTAGGAGAACTAACGCGTGAATGTTATGATTAATTCATTATCAAAGTAGATTTCTTTGCACTTAATAATGTTTCTTTTTTCTTGTTGGCTTATCAGTAATGTTATTAACATTGTTGATCTCATTGGTAACATATCTTACTTTGACATGGGCGGAGCCAAATACACCTGAGACTTTGAGTTTTTCTTTAAGAATTATATAGTATTATATTATGTAAGATTTTTGGGAGGTTTTCATAAATTAACACCATTGAAATTGTTAAAAAATAAATGCGATGATGTATTTTTTTAGAAAAAGTAGAACTTAGTTGAGAGCTTATTAACGCACGAGCATGTTAGGGTTTGTGGGGGTGCAAATATGAACTGACTTCTAAGCAAACGATGCATGTGGAAATTGAAAGCAATTGAAAGACAATGCTAGAAATTAGCTAAGTAAAGTTTGAATTTCAAATTGACAATAGTTTTGACAAGATTCTGAGGTGCACAACCTTTTCCCCTTCTTCAAATCTTCTATTTATAGATACTGTTGGCGGCTGCTAACTCTTGACTGGCCACTAATGCCATAACTCCTAACTGTAGGGTAGTGGTCAACTCCTCCAGTAAAGCGTTGCCATGTGTCCCATTACCTCAAGTTGCCGTCAATCACTCTCCTACGTCTGCTTCATTCTCCAGGTCTCTCTCTTGGGATGATAAGTATTGCTTGAACTTAGCTCATTTGCCAACTGACCTTCTACAAAGTAGGAAGTGAAGATATGACCTGGGTTGATACTCCGGACAAAGTCCTGCTCTTCTGCCTTGCAACCTGCCATGTGGGACTATTATTGGGGTCATTTTGAGGTGTAAACAGAGGCACCCTTCTTTCTAACCACAGGATACTTAGTGTTTTTTTTTTTAGACCAGGATACTTAGTTGTTTACAAGACTTTTTGTTTCCCTCATGAAGAAGACTCATGTTGTTTCCTCGTCCCCTCTTTGTTTGATTGACAGAAAATTGCTTAGGCTCATTCTCTTTAGTTTTGTTTAAGTAATAGTATATCAATGTTCTTAAGTTTTGCTGTACATGTAATTTGGCAAGTATAAGTTACTTTTACAGTGTTATTATTGCGAATATATGATATTACAATACAATATACTGTAGTATTTTATGTGAACTTTTTTTTTGGTTAATTTTGTAGAACTAAAAATATGATGGTAATGACATTAATTTTAACTATAAATGACGCCATTGAATGAAATTTCTAGCTAGGCCACTGCACTTTTGATGGCAATATTGCTCCATTGGGGTTGGTTGTCGATTGGGTTTATAGTAGTTACATTCATTATAGCAGCAATGCATATAATTTGTCTTGCATATGTTAGAATGGGCATAACTCTTTTGTGTTGATTGAAACTCACAGCTTTCGTGCATTTGATTAAAACATTTTGGTGATGGCCACAATGCACCGTAAGTGGGGCGATGAGGAGTACTCTTACATACCAGAAAAAGGAGAAATCGGGTTCATTGATTATGAGGATGATCGATCTGTGTGCAGTTACAACCCAGATGAAGAGGGTCCAATTTCTATAACTGTCCCATTCCCACTTATAGATAGAAAGCCTCGATCAATATTCATAGGAGAAACTTCCAGTGAGCCAATCAAGATTAAGAACAGCACTAGAGAACCAGTGGAACTCTGGAAAGTTGACATTTATGACTCAAATCCGAAGGACTCATTCACTGTATCTCTGATGGAACCTCCATCAGCGACGTCGGATGTTGATTACATCCGAGATTTCTTAGAATCTTTTTGCTTGGATGACCGGGTGTTGCAACCAGGTCAAACTTTAACTGTTTGGTTATCTTGCAAGCCTAAGGAAATTGGATTGCACACTACAGCAGTGCATTTTGATGTTGGGGATAACAGGATTGAAAGGTTGGTTTTTCTTTTGGTAGAAGATAAGATCTCCAAGTCTCTGTCATCAAATAAGCCATATCGTAGGGACAGGAAAAAGAAGCCGTTGGTTGTGGATACATCCACTGTGGATGCATTTGTTCCTGGTGTACGTCCTCCAAGGGTTTCAAACCGAGGGGTCAGATATAAGATTCCTTTATATCCGATCCCAAAAGATATCAGAGAATTGGTGGAGAATAAGGAGATCCCCAGTGTTATAGGAGAAGGTTTAACAAGAGAGAATTATGGTGCCTACTTCAATACTCTGTTGATCATGGAAGAAATAAAAATGGAGGTAACTTTCTCTCACCAAGGAAAGAATAATATTAGCGATGCGAATGTTTTCTTTTGAAAAAGTTTTCTGTCTGTGCAAGTAGATGAACTGTTTTCTTTTTCTGGTTTGCACTGAAATTGGGGAGTTGTTGATTTCAGGAAGTTATGAGGGGTTATGACATGGAGTGCATCTCTTTTTGCAAGAAGGGACAATATTTGACTCTTGAGGTCCCAGGACTGGCTGAGAGAAGACCTTCACTCATTCATGGAGATTTTATATATGCTAAGCTTGCCTCTGATGATGCGACAACTCGTCCACATCAGGTCAGTTCCCATTTTAGCAGTTCTTTCTTTAAAATTAGAGTTTGAGCATTTCATCTAATATCGAAAGAACAATGGACAATCATCGCTGTTGTTTCTGCTATATCAGATGATGCAATCTGAAGTCAAAACCATCAATTCATTTTCAAAGCGAGTTATTATAATGTCTGAAAGAATGACATATTTGTGTTGAAATTAAAGTAATATGAGCAAACATATATGTTACAAATCAATATATATATATATATGTGGTATGTTTTAGTATTTATTGTCCTGCTGTATATCCTACCACCTTTTTGTTATTTGTTTGCTTTTTTGACCTTTTGTTGCACCAAATCCCTTGTTTTTTTTCCTGGAGAAAACCAATTTTCAAATTCAGTCAAAGAGATTTTCACATGATATTCATAACATCTCATAAATTATGAATCATAATACAAAGCAAATCAGAAAAGGCTTATTGAGTTGAGTTATACATAAAATGTTACTATGAGCTAAATTGTTTAGAAACTTCCAATGTGCACGTTACGCAATCTAGATGGTAGCATATTGATAGTTATTAGCAAGTATGTGGAGAACTTCTGCTACTAAATTCTCTTTTAAATGAATCATTGTAAATGGTGATACTCTATTTTATCAATGTATTTTTGTTGGCATTTGATCAATCAATGCAGTGAAACAAATTGTCATGTTCGAAGGATTTATGTTAATTGAAGCCCTGATTTTCAATTTCTTCAATAAGTGAATATTTGACTCTTAATTTTTCATGTCTATACAGATTGCATCTTTGGCTTGTATTTCCCGCCTAGTAAATATTTTTGCAGAGTATTTTTGTTTTCTTCTTTCATTTTTCCAATTATTTCAAGCATTATCATGTATCTTGTGTTTCACAATATGATACGATGCTTGATATGAAGATCTGAAAAATAGATGTATTATTGATTGATATATTGATATTAATTGATTTCTGTCTATTACAAATGGTTCCTTATATAGATGTAGGTGTAGTGGATGGTGGTAGTGGTGTAGTGGGTTAGGTTTAGTGGAGTAGGTGAGGTGGTAGTGGTGTAGTAGGTTAGGTTTAGTGGAGTAGGTTTAAGTGGGTGAAGTAGGTGGAGAGTAGATGAATTTTAACAGAAGATATCAGATTGGAATATAATAGAAATATGATTTGTTAATTATTTACATGAAATGAAAATTTTATAATGCCAAATAAAACCAAACCAAACCAAACCAAACCAAACCAAACTTTGTGTTCCACTCAAGTGGGGTCGGTTACATGAATCTTTTTTTGTTATTTTGCTCTGTCATAAGCTAGATGCTTAGTTAAATTTAATAAATTCATGTACTACTACATCCCATGTCAGTTTAGGTCTTCCCCATGCCTCTTTGTATTATTATACATTAATTTCTTATTGCTTAGTGCGATAGTTCAGAATTCAAATCCTATATCCACTTTGCTGAAACTGAACTCTTGAATGGGTCTTGCACAGGGTTTTATCCACCATGTTGAGACTGAAGAAGTATATCTAAAGTTTGAGAAAGAATTTCACTTCCGCCATGAACCCGGGAACCTATACAATGTGCAGTTCACTTACAACCGAATAAACATGCGAAAATTATATCAGGCCGTTGAAGCAGTAGAGCATTTAGAAAGTGAGCTTCTCTTTCCATCTGATTCCTCTAGAAAAAGACTGATTAGACCTGCTCGACTCTCTCCTCTTTCTGCTGTTCTTAATGAGGAACAGAAGCGCTCGGTTGAGATGATTCTTGGCTGCAAAGGCGGTCCCCCTTATGTGATCTACGGGCCTCCAGGCACGGGAAAGACTTTGACACTTGTTGAAGCAATCCTCCAACTCTATATAAAGCAAAATAGTGCCCGAATTCTTGTATGTGCACCTTCAAATAGTGCAGCAGATCATATACTAGAGAAGCTACTCAGCGAGAACGCTGTCAAAGTTAAAGAAAATGAGATACTTAGGCTCAATGCAATTAGTCGTCAGTTTGATGATATTAAGACCGATCTATACCGGTTTTGTTACCATGAAGAGTCAAACTTCAAGTGTCCTCCACTTCAAAACCTAATGCGCTACAAAATCATCATTTCGACATACATGAGTGCCTCGCTTCTTTATGCAGAAGGCATTAGGCAAGGTCACTTCTCTCACATTTTCTTAGATGAGGCGGGCCAAGCGTACGAGCCTGAAACCATGATTCCCATATCCCTCCTTTGCCGAAGGGGAGCAGTTATCGTTCTTGCTGGTGACCCAATGCAATTAGGTCCGGTAATTCACTCCAGAGAGGCGGAAACTTTTGGATTGGGAATGTCATACTTGGCTAGGCTCTTTGACTGCGAGTTCTATAACAACGACAATGAAAATTATGTCACGAAGTTGGTTCAAAATTACCGATGTCACCCTGAAATTCTTTATCTCCCTTCACAATTGTTTTATAAAGGTGAATTACTCGCATTCAAAAACGATACCAGTTCATCCATGCCTTGTTTGGAACTCCTTCCTAACAAGAATTTTCCCATCCTTTTCATTGGTATCCAAGGCTGTGATGAGCGGGAAGGAAGTAACCCATCGTGGTTTAACCGATTTGAGGCGAGCAAGGTCGTTGAGATTATCAAGCAATTGACCGGAAAATGGGAGTTGACTGGGGAAGATATTGGGGTCATAACTCCTTATCGTCAGCAAGTACTCAAATTACAGAAAGCCCTTGAAAGTTTGGATTGCTCTGATATCAAGGTTGGCAGTGTTGAGCAATTTCAAGGGCAAGAAAGGCAAGTGATTATTGTGTCTACTGTCCGATCAACGGTCAAGCACAATGACTTTGACAGAATTCATTGCTTGGGATTTTTGAGCAGTCCCAGAAGGTTCAATGTTGCCATTACCCGCGCCCGGTCTTTGTTGATTGTTATTGGTAATCCACACATCATTGGCAAGGTAATTTTGATTTGTTTTATGTTGTTTATTTATTTTTCCTGTTTTGCATAAAGTAATACACATCAAAAAAAAAAAAAAAAAACACCTAATGTTTAGGATTTTGCAACACCTAATGTATAACTAATTTTTTTCTTTATTTAGGATTTTGCAACACCTAATGTTTCGTTTGTTTCTTTGACCTACCATGACTTAACACAGTGAATTCTGGCTATGGCACTGCAGAACTGTGCAATAATGATAGGGATTGTATTAGTATTAAGGCAAAAAATTAAGGACAAATTACCAATAGGTCCTAATAGTTGGACTTAATTCCTATCAAGTCCTATTAAAAATAAGTCATGGTAAAATTGTTGTTAAAAACAATTTTTTTTGTGATGATTTTTTGCATGTCACTAAAAATTGACAATTAGTTATTTTTTTTATCATGGTTTTTATAAATTGTTGCTAAAACTTACAATTAGTGATACTTTTCTGTGACGAATTTTTCAAACTGTCACTAAAAGTTAAAAATTAGTAACTTTTTTTTGTGATAAAATTTTTAAATTGTTGCTAAAAATTAACAATTAGTGACTTTTTTTAATCGTATTTGATAAAAAACGCCATTAATTTTCACAGAACCTATTGAACAATAAGTCCATCTGTTAGAATTTACCATCACCTACCACCACTACCACCTCACCTACTCCACTAAACCTAACCCACTACACCACTACCACCATCCACTACACCTACATCTATATAAGGAACCATTTGTAATAGACAGTATACAACAACATATATCAATCAATAATACAGTATTTTTTTTAACATGGTATCAGAGCAAGGTTAACAACTTAGTCATTTTGCTTCACCGGCGGGCGGCAGTCTCGCTTTGGCCGTCTGCCGGACCTCTACACATACCTTCACTCCGCTGCCAAATTTCTTGCTGCTGGAGTTTTGTACTCATCCTCGCTCCCTTAGTTCTTGTGCTTTGATCTTCATTTCTTCTGGAGTGAGGGAAGGCTGAGCAACCTCAATTTTGGTGCTGACAGGTACCTTCGGCAACTCATCTATATCTGCATCATTCTCATGTTCAACTACCCAATTCACAGCAGCCTCAAGGTTGGTGTTATCGGAGTAATGAAGTGCCCTAATCGCCCTTGCTTTTGGAAATCCCATTCCTTCAAGTTCCTCAAGCAGCTTCTGGTCAACTTCTGGAACAATCATTTCCTGAGGCTGACAACTACTACTACTCTCGCCTTGAGCATCCTCCATATTTCGATCTTTCTCAACCTCCAAACTTATTGGCTTCGCCACTTCCAAAGCCTCTCCTCCAATTCAAGCTCGTATCCAAGACATGGACTTCTCTCCTTCTTCCCGTATTATCAAGTTCAATCACATCTCTCACTCTCTCGGCAGTTTTGGGTTCGCGCATATTGTGCCTGTTTACCGGAGCTATATGCAGAATTACGGGCCATTGGTTGAACACGATGCGAGTGGAAGCTAGTATGCAAAGTACACAGCGCAGTCTTTGGAGAAAATGCTTCGCTCTCTCTTGTATTCATCGAAGATCAGTCAGGGTTCTGATAGCAATGAACCTCCATTAATTTCAAACCAAAAAAAGAGGAAGAAGACGAACTGCACACCATCTTATTTTATTCATGTCGGGGCTCACCCCGATCACCATTTTACACCACACAAAAAAAAAAAAAAAAAAAAAAAAAAAAAAAAAAAAAAA